AGGCGCACGCGTTCAAGCTTTGTACACACACGCACATTGCCGTGCAAGCCTCGACCGAACTGAAGGGTATAACCCTATTTACCCTATTTTTATGTAGTTAAGTTCATGTCATTAAGACCATGTCGAAGTCATGTTGTTCGGTCCAAAATTTTTAGTAAAAGTGACCTCGGAGGTGCTATGTAAGCCCTCCCGAGTAATTTCAAAATAGAACCGGCAAGCTCCAAGTAATCTATGTATTTTCAGTCATTTTAAGTCAAAATATAATCAGTCATGTACGGATTGCCAGAAAAAGTAGCCGGACGGCCAGCGAAGTGCCGACCGTGATGCCTACCGCACGCGGTGTGCGCGCAGGCGCGTCCGGCAAGCCCAGCGAGTACGCAGGCAGCGTTCGTGCGCCCAGTAACGCACACGCGTGCCCAGTACTCGCAGTTCAGCCCTTGCGATGCCGCAGTCATGCGTATAGACGCTCGGCAGCGCATGTCCGTGTTCACCCGCGTACACTGCAACGCGTCACACGCCCAGCAGCGTGTCCCGCGAAGCATGTACGTACGCCAGCGGCTTACCACGCACGCTGGCCAGTCACCACGCTCGCCAGCACGCCCAGCAGCGTGCCAGCGATGTTCAGCGGGCCTCGGCGTTGCCCGGCAGCACGCCCGAGCACCCAGTCAGCCCAGCACGCGTAGCCCGCGTGCCAGTCATCTACCCACGGCACCCAGCAGCGCCCGGTAGTACATGTACATGCCAGTACCGTCGCCAGCGTGCACGGTAGTGGCCAGTTGAGCCCAGCAAGCGTCCAGTCGTCACTGGCCGTGCACAGCAGCACGCCAGCGACCGTCCCAGCGCACGCACGGTGCCAGCAGCACCTGCCAGCGTAAGGGACTAAGTCAGCCAGCGCCTGCCAGCGCCAGCAGTGCCGGCAACGTCCAGTCCGCGCCCAGCGTGCGTGAGTGACCGAGCCGGTGGTCAGCCAGCTGCCGACCGCCCGGCCGTAGTGAGCCGGCGGTCTGGCCAGAAAATAAACCAGCCAATTTAGACCGGTTTTTGAGCTGTTCAGTATTTACTGATCCGGTTCGAGTCCAGTACAGTATTTCAGTTAATTTTTCAGTCCAGTCAGTCCAGTTCACCAATATCAGTTCAGTCCGTTTTTCTTGTCGTCAAGATAAGTCCCGAGAATATTCCAGTTAAATATTTAGATCGAGTCGAGCATCTTAACAGTTATTTTCAGTCAGTCTGAGCATAGTACTTAGTATTTCTTTATTTATATATTTTTACAGAGTAATCAGCAGCAGCACTTACATTATCAGTACGTGTGGGGACTCAGACTGGGTATTACATTGGTTATAATTGCTCTATCATGTTTTAAGGTATGTATATGAGATATCCACTTTGGGTGGAGGCGCAGTAGCCTTAATTGCCCATCCAGAGTTCTGGTGGAGGCGCAGTAGCCTTAATTGCCCATCAGAGTGTGCACATGGCAGTTCAGTTCAGTTACAGACCTTGTGTCTGGAGATTACAGTTTACTTATATATACCTGCAGTCATGATATTGATATTATTATTTTTGTTTACTTTAGTATGATTTTCTGCGGAGTACAGTGATTTTAATACTCACGCTCCCACTATTATGACCTTTTTCAGGTGACAGAGTCGGTCCGGAGGAGTGAGCAGAGCTGGTGGTCGCCGGTGCAGTTCATGAAAATATACAACAACAGTTACCATTCTTCTATTCAGATGGCTCCTTATGAGGCACTATATGGTCGTAAAGGTCGTTCCCCTCTTTATTGGGACGACGTCGGCGAACGTCGAGTACTCGGTCCAAACCTGATCGAGGAGACAGCAGAATAAGTTGAGTTGATCCGGCAGAGACTCAGGATAGCTCAGAGCAGAATGAAATCAACCGCCGATCATCATCGACGAGATATCCAGTTCGAGGTTGGCGAGCACGCTTTTCTCAGAATAAGTCCATTTCGTGGAGTTGTTCGATTCGGGAAGAGAGGGAAGTTACACCCTCGATTCATTGGCCCGTTCGAAGTACTCAAGCGAGTGGGCGATATTGCATATCGTCTGGCCTTACCTCCAGAGTTATCCAGTGTTCATAATGTCTTCCATGTATCTATGTTGCGCAAGTACGTGTGCGACCCCGATCATGTCATTCCTCATACTGATATTGAGATTCATCCAGACTTATCTTACGAGGAGCGACCGGTAGCTGTGTTGGACCGACAGGTTCGACGGCTCCAGAAGCGTGATGTTCCCCTCGTTCGTATTCAGTGGGATCGCCACGGAGCCACTTGGGAGCAGGAGGCCGACATTCGCGCTCGCTTTCCTGACTTTCAGTTTTGACGTATATATATCTTTCCTGTATATATATGTTTTGTTTTGTATTTCCGAGGACGAAAATATTTTAAGGGGGTAGATTGTAATAACCCAACTTCTTGTTAATAAAAATGATGTATTTTCTTTTATTAATTCCATTCATTTTCAGCGAATACGTTCGACGTCAAGTCAAAAAGTTTATCCACTTAATTATTAACCGAGTCAAATTCGATAACTAATTTCCGAACCGTTTATTTTATAAACGGACATTATTAATCGGGGTTAATTACTAATAATTAAGCATGTTCGGAATTAAGTTCAAAGTTATAACCAAGCCAAGTCATGTTGAATCATGAGTGCACAAGGTACACTATGCACGCTCATCGTGCATAGTCACGCGTGTAGCTCGCGCACGCGACCGTGCGCAGCGCACGGCATTGCGCGTAGCGCAAGCCATCACACCCTAAGTACGTTTATATTACACTAAGCTCAATGATCAACCAAAGCAAGTCCCAAATCCTTTCCTTAATATTGCCGTCCAAGATAAGTGTTGGGTGTGCAAGTGGTGTGGTGACTCACCTACTAGCTTGCACACATGGCAAGACACGGACGCACGGTGATGACTAAGCCCGTGCATGCTTGACACCTCGGCTGATGACTAAGCCAAACACGGCACACCTCAGCACACGATCGAGACACTTGGCGTCGAGGGAAAAACGCATCATCAATCACCTCCTTTGACCCAATTTTCACCTTCGGTTTTACCATTCCTTTAAATAACCGAATATGTAATTTCTCCCATGCATTTTCATGCAAAAGCCGAACCTAACTTCAGCATAATTGAGGGAAAAATAGTAAGGAAAAATAAGAGAAAAATTGTATAAAATAGCTAAGAAGGATCGAAGTATAAGGGAAGCTAAGGCGCACGCGTTCAAGCTTTGCACACACACACACATTGCCGTGCAAGCCTCGACCGAACTGAAGGGTATACCCCTATTTACCCTCTTTTTATGTAGTTAAGTTCATGTCATTAAGATCATGTCGAAGTCATGTTGTTCGGTCCAAAATTTTTAGTAAAAGTGACCTCGGAGGTGCTATGTAAGCCCTCCCGAGTAATTTAAAAATAGAACCGGCAAGCCCCGAGTAATCTATGTATTTTCAGTCATTTTAAGTCACAATATAATCAGTCATGTACGGATTTCCGGAAAAAGTAGCCGGACGGCCGGCGAAGTGCCGACCGTAATGCCTACCGCATGCGGTGTGCGCGCAGGCGCGTCCGACAAGCCCAGCGAGTACGCAGGCAGCGTTCGTGCGCCCAGTAACGCACACGCGTGCCCAGTACTCGCAGTTCAGCCCTTGCTATGCCGCAGTCATGCGTATAAACGCTCGACAACGCATGTCCGTGTTCACTCGCGTACACCGCAACGCATCACACGCCTGATACGGAAGTGGGTTCCGTACCCCTGTGACAAGAAGGGCCAAGATACAAGACGACCCAAGGAGGCTGGAAAAAGGGCCAAAACGACGCATGCATGGCCTAAAAGACGGGTGCGAGCTCGTATGCGAGGCACTCGAGCACATGAGAAGTGGCACGTACAAGGCAGTAGACAAAGGCGTGCACACGCCTATTGGCGTAGACGCGCATGGCGATTGGAGAATAGGCAGAGTGGCGCGCAGGGGGAGGTTGTTGGGTGGATGGCGCGCGAGGGGAATTGCTGCGGATGGACGGGCGCGCAACGGTACGCGCACAAGGCAGCTGGCGAGGACGCGAGGCGCGCGTTGGCCGTAGTGCGTCTGTTAGATACACCTATCGTGGATAAACGAAGGCCCTGAGTGCGCCGTTTGTTCACAACCGAGTATAGGCAGAAATTCGATCTGTCGTCATTGGTGGCCACTCATTGAGAGGTGCTGATCGATTTTTTGTCTATCTTATCTTTATATTTTTTTTCGGTTTGCCTTTTGCTGAGGGGCCGAATTTCTCTTTATTTTTTGTTGGGATTCGAATTTTATTGTTCGAATTTTCCCTTATTTTTTCGAATTTGAGTCTTAAAAAAAAAAAAAAAAAGTGTCATCTTGTTAGTCCTTTGTTTGATTTTTTTTCGGTTATTACCTTTTGTTGAGGGGCCGAATTTCTTTTTGGTTCGATTTTTTTTAGTCTCGTTGGGGGTTCGATTTTTCGAATTTTTCCCAAATTATTTCCGAATTTTTATTTTTTTAGAGTCAAAAAAATAAAAAAAAAAAAAATTTATGATGTCGAACCGTGAGAGGATTCAAGCCTTGGAGGACAACATGAAGATCATCGGCGATGGTCAACATGCTACCAACGAGAACTTGGGAAGGATCGAACTAATAGTCCAGTTCTTGGCCGGGCAACTAACGCGTATGAACATGCGGCCAAGGAAACGACACGGGTCGCGGTCCACGGCAGCAAGCACCGGGACCGAGCGCGAGGATGATCGCCGATCGCGGGGCACACACGCATCACACGTAGATCACCAACGCGACAGCCGACGACGACACGATGGACGCGCACATCACGACCGTAGGCACGAAGAAGATGACGACCGACAGTCGTACGCATCGTACGCATCGCGGGCCTCACACGATGAGCGTCGGGCACGACGCGACGACCGCCAGCGTTACAACGAGGGCCGACGATACCATGAACGACGGGACGAGGGACAGGCCCGGTATCACGATCGCAACGATCCACGGGACGACAGGGCGGGCACACGGCCAAAAATTATTATGCCCACGTTCACGGGAACAGATCCGGATGCATGGTTGAGTCGGGCTGTGCAATTCTTTGAGATCAATGATGTGCCAAGGTACGAACGAGTTCAAATTGCTGCCTATCACCTTGATGGGGAAGCAAACGTTTGGTGGCAATGGGTGGTGCACAAAAACCATGGCGAGCACATGCGATGGAGAGATTTTGAAAAAGAGCTCATCACGAGATTTGGCTCGAGTGACTACCACGATTACAACGAGGCTTTGTCAAGAATCAAACAAGTGGGTAGTCTAAGGGATTATCAAAAAGAGTTCGAACGCATTGCTAGTAGAGTACGGGACTGGCCCGAGGCTGCGCTAGTGGGAACTTTTGTTGGAGGACTTAAAGCTGAACTGGCAGCCGAAGTGAGGTTGGACAGGCCAGGCTCGATGCGAGCAGCCGTTGAGTCGGCTAGATTACACGAAGAACATCTTGTGGCGGTACGCAAGGCAAAGCCGAGCGACGTGCGCGCGGAGACCAAGCGCACGAACGCTACGACCGAGGAACTGGCAGGGAGAACAGAAAACAAGTCGATGGGCGAGACTGTTTGAACGACAAGCAACATACGGCGGCTTACTGACGAAGAGATGCAACGACGGCGAGAAAAAGGCCTTTGCTATTCGTGCAACGAAAAATTTACGCCAGGCCACAGGTGCAAAGGTAAGGAGGTCTTTTTGTTGGAATTTGAAGAAGAAGAACCACGAGAGGAGTCCTTACTACATATGGTTAAGAGTAAGAAGCATGGTCCGAAGATGATCACATTCACGGCGGAAGTGAGAGGGAAATTGGTGGAGGTATTGGTGGATAGCGGATCTACGCTAAACTTCATTTATGAGGAGCTATCTAAAGAAATCGAGATTCCATTCACCCGGGTAAAACCTTTTGGAGTTAAGGTTGCAAACGGGGAAACACTACGAGGAGATATTCTATTCAAAGGTGTAAAGTTGAAAGCTCAAGGTCAAAGGATGAGAGTGGATCTCTATGCATTTCCATTGAAGGCGACTGATATAGTGCTTGGATGCCAGTGGTTGGAGACTCTTGGTCCGATCACAACCGATTATTGGAAAGGAACTATGGAGTTCGGGAGATCAAGCAAGAGGGTCAAGTTGAGGACTGAGGATCCAGGTGAGTCACCTGATGAAGATGACAGGTATGGTCGAGTTGGGAAGCTGAATTTCTTGATCCTTGGGGACAAGGAAAGTCTTGAAGAGGAGGGGAATGATACGGAAGTTGAATAAAGTATTGAATTGGTGAGCCAATCTTGAGGGGGAACTGATGTTCTTAACGTGTGTTTAAACAAGGCCATTAGTGCGTGTTTACATACAGTGTCGGAGAGAAGGCCATTAGAGCGTCTTGAAGTCACGGTATCTAGGAGAAGGCCGTAGTGCGTCTGTTAGATACACCTATCGTGGATAAACGAAGGCCCTGAGTGCGCCGGTTGTTCACAACCGAGTATAGGCAGAAATTCGATCCTCATCATTGGCCAATGATACGGAAGTGGGTTCCGCACCCCTGTGACAAGAAGGGCCAATATCCAAGACGACCCAAGGAGGCTGGAAAAAGGGCCAAACGACGCATGCATGGCCTAAAAAACGGGTGCGAGCTCGTATGCGAGGCACTCGAGCACATGAGAAGTGGCACGTACAAGGCAGTAGACAAAGGCGTGCACTCGCCTATTGGCGTAGACGCGCATGGCGATTGGAGAATAGGCGGAGTGGCGCGCAGGGGGAGGTTGTTGGGTGGATGGCGCGCGAGGGGAATTGCTGCGAATGGACGGGCGCGCAACGGTACGCGCGCAAGGCAGCAGACGAGGACGCGAGGCGCGCGTTGGCGCGCAAGTGGCCAGCGGACGCACGAGACCTAGTCCGCGCGGGACTAGGCATGGCAAGGGTACAACGTGCACGCGCAGGCGGGACGGGCGCGCATAGAGCGATGGACGATGTGCGGGCATTGGGCGTGCGGGACGACGAGCGCGGGGCGCAAGGCGACACGTGCGAGGCACAATACGAGAACAAGCAGGCAAGCCTAATCCTCGTAGGAATAGGCAAGGCACGAATACTAATCCTCGCAGGAATAAGAAAAGCAGTTGATTGCCGGAACGCGCGTGGGAGATCGATGACGGGAGTAATCCTCGGAAGATCAGGAAACGTAACCGAGAGCCTATTCCTAGTAGGAATAGGAATAGTGGATATGGGCTCGAGGCATGATCCTACAAGGAATAGGAACGGCGCATGTGGGCGCGAGACCTTAAGCCTGGAGGTGAGAGGACATACATGGGCGAAGGCGGTGCAGCCCTAATCCTCGAGGACTAGGGCAAGGCGTGAGGGCGGCGGACGCATGGAAGGCAGCGAGTGGTTTTAGGCGTGTGGAAGACTTGGGAGCATTCTAGAAGTACTTGGTGTGCAAGTCAAGACATTAGGAGATCTAGTAGATTTAGGAATTTATGATAGTAGGATATTTACTAGCCTTAGGATTTAATATTTAATTGTTCTATTAGTTTCCTAGTAAGATTAGCATTAGAGATAGTTGGTACCTATAAATACCCATGTACCTCATCAAATTTTATAAGTTGAATGAAGTATTGAATTGGTGAGCCAATCTTGAGGGGGAACTGATGTTCTTAACGTGTGTTTAAACAAGGCCATTAGTGCGTGTTTACATACAGTGTCGGAGAGAAGGCCATTAGAGCGTCTTGAAGTCACGGTATCTAGGAGAAGGCCGTAGTGCGTCTGTTAGATACACCTATCATGGATAAACGAAGGCCCTGAGTGCACCGTTTGTTCACAACCGAGTATAGGCAGAAATTCGATCCGTCATCTTTGGTGCTTTCATTGAGAGGGTTTCATTGAGAGGTGCTGATCGTGTTTTTATCTATCTATCTTTTTCTTTTTTTCGGTTTGCCTTTTGCTGAGGGACCAAATTTTTGTTTATTTTTGGTTCGAAATTTTCGAATTTCTATTCGAATTTTTCAATTTTTCGTGTCTTAAAAAAAAAGTGTCATCTTGTTAGTCCTTTGTTTGATTTTTTCGGTTATTACCTTTTGTTGAGGGCCCGAATTTCTCTTTGTTTTATTTTTTTGTTTGGTTCGAATTTATTTCGAATTTTAGAGTAAAAAAAAAAGGGGAGAATCATGATGTTCGAGCCAATAGATGAGTGGGATCAAGAAGATCTCGAATATTTGGAAGGTTTGGAGAGGGAATTAACCCCTTGGGAGCAAGAGTATTTGGAGGAGATGTACGAGCAAAAGGAGGAGTATGAAAGACAACTCAGGATCATGGAGGAAGGGCAACAAGTCGAGATCAAGGAAGAGATCTTGTTCGTGGTTGAGGAGGGCCTTGGCGAGGAGACGTGCGTGGCATACAAAGTGTTCGACATCAAGAGTGAGGGCTTGGTCGAAAGCGACGAGGAACTTACGTTTTCGTTCGAATTTCTAGGATACCTTGAAGAGGAGTCTTTCGTCGAAGTCGGTGTCGAGGTCGATGAGGACCGAGAGTGGTATGCGCATATGGTCGAAGAAGATGTGCCCGACGTTTGGATGGTCGTGGATAAATCCTTGAGGACAAGGAAAGTCTCGAAGAGGAGGGGAATAATACGGAAGTGAGTTCCGTACCCCTGTGACAAGAAGGGCCAAGATCCAAGACGACCCAAGGAGGCTGGAAAAAGGGCCAAAACGACGCATGCATGGCCTAAAAGACAGGTGCGAGCTCGTATGCGAGGCACTCGAGCACATGAGAAGTGGCACGTACAAGGCAGTAGACAAAGGCGTGCACACGCCTATTGGCGTAGACGCGCATGGCGATTGGAGAATAGGCGGAGTGGCGCGCAGGGGGAGGTTGTTGGGTGGATGGCGCGCGAGGGGAATTGCTGCGGATGGACGGGCGCGCAACGGTACGCGCGCAAGGCAGCTGGCGAGGACGCGAGGCGCGCGTTGGCGCGCAAGTGGCCAGCGGACGCACGAGACCTAGTCTGCGCGGGACTAGGCATGGCAAGGGTACAACGTGCACGCGCAGGCGGGACGGGCGCGCATAGAGCGATGGACGATGCGCGGGCATTGGGCGTGCGGGACAACGAGCGCGGGGCGCAAGGCGACACGTGCGAGGCACAATGCGAGAACAAGCAGGCAAGCCTAATCCTCGTAGGAATAGGCAAGGCACGAATACTAATCCTCGCAGGAATAGGAAAAGCAGTTGATTGCCGGAACGCGCGTGGGAGATCGATGACGGGAGTAATCCTCGGAAGATCAGGAAATGTAACCGAGAGCCTATTCCTAGTAGGAATAGGAATAGTGGATATGGGCTCGAGGCATGATCCTACAACGAATAGGAACGGCGCATGTGGGCGCGAGACCTTAAGCCTGGAGGTGAGAGGACATACATGGGCGAAGGCGGTGCAGCCCTAATCCTCGAGGACTAGGGCAAGGCGTGAGGGCGGCGGACGCATGGAAGGCGGCGAGTGGTTTTAGGCGTGTGGAAGACTTGGGAGCATTCTAGAAGTACTTGGTGTGCAAGTCAAGACATTAGGAGATCTAGTAGATTTAGGAATTTATGATAGTAGGATATTTACTAGCCTTAGGATTTAATATTTAATTGTTCTATTAGTTTCCTAGTAAGATTAGCATTAGAGATAGTTGGTACCTATAAATACCCATGTACCTCATCATATTTTACAAGTTGAATGAAGTATTGAATTGGTGAGCCAATCTTGAGGGGGAACTGATGTTCTTGACGTGTGTTTAAACAAGGCCATTAGTGCGTGTTTACATACAGTGTCGGAGAGAAGGCCATTAGAGCGTCTTGAAGTCACGGTATCTAGGAGAAGGCCGTAGTGCGTCTGTTAGATACACCTATCGTGGATAAACGAAGGCCCTGAGTGCGCCGTTTGTCCACAACCGAGTATAGGCAGAAATTCGATCCGTCATCATTGGTGAAAAAAAATTCGCGCCTACGGTCGTGATGTGCGCGTCCATCGTGTCGTCGTCGGCCGTCGCGTTGGTGATCTGCGTGTGATGCGTGTGTGCCCCGCGATCGGCGATCATCCTCGCGCTCGGTCCCGGTGCTTGCTGCCGTGGACCGCGACCTGTGTCGTTTCCTTGGCCGCATGTTCATACGCGTTAGTTGCCCGGCCAAGTCCTGGACCATTAGTTCGATCCTTCCCAAGTTCTCGTTGGTAGCATGTTGACCATCGCCGATGATCTTCATGTTGTCCTCCAAGGCTTGAATCCTCTCACGGTTCGACATCATAAATTTTTTTTTTTTTTTTTGACTCTAAAAAAATAAAAATTCGGAAATAATTTGGGAAAAAATCGAAAAATCGAACCCCCAACAAGACTCAAAAAAATCGAACCAAAAAGAAATTCAGTGTTGATCGTGTGTTTTTCTTCTACACTTCATTCCCTTTCTTTTTTCTTTTATTTTTCGTTCCCCCCATTAGAAAAAAAAAAAAAAAAAAAAA